GCCATGAGGGAGCAGCCATGGGAGTCCTTTTGTCCTTGGTAATAGTTTGCATGTTATTCTCGAATAAACTGAGATGAATTGAGTATATGTTGAGAATCAATTAAAGATTTTTTTTTCTATTGAAGGATGGGGACAGGAAATATACAAATAGAAAGGGTGTGAAGACAAGTGTGAACAAAGATTGCAGAAATCCCAGAAAAGCTAAACAAGCTGTTCCCTGTGTCATTCCATTTGACACACACACAAAGAGTCTAAGTGAGTGACAACTTTAAAAGTTTAAACAGAGGCTTCAGCTTGAGAAGCTTTAACAGTGTCTTCTCTGTGTTTCAGATAAATGACAGCAACAGAGAGAACCACTTAAAATCTAGTCAAAAGACTTCTCTACCAGGCACAGAAACATCTTAAATAAGCACCAGTGAAAGAAGAATCCATGTGTGTATGTGTTTGGGGGAGGGGGGCTGGAACTTCTCATGGAAGTCAAGCATAGAAAACTGACTCCAGCAGGAAGTCTGAAATCTGGACTACACTGTTTCTCTCTCTCTCTCTCTCTCTCTCTCTCTCTCTCTCTCTCTCTCTCTCAGCTTCTAAGGTATTACTGTCAACTCTACACCTGTTCAGACAGCTACTGTCACAAAGATGAATGCCAAAAACTGTTGCTGAGGATGTGAAGAAAGGGGAACTCTTAAATATTCTTTGTTGGGGAGATATTAATTAGTGAAGGCATTAAGTAAAATAGCATGAAAGAGCCTCAATACTAAAACTGTGGTGATCATCGGGTCCAGAACTAGCACATCTGGGTACATAGCCTAAAGAATTAATGTCAGTACATCAAAGAACTACCTGTACCGCTGTGTTTATTGCAGGGTGTCCACAGTAGTCAAGATATGAAAGCAAAGCCAATGTCCATCCCTGAACAGATGAAGGAAATGCTCTTACATATGTATATATGTGATTATCTGCATATGTTTGTATATATAGTGCACATATATGTGTTTATATATGTGATATGCGTTTGTGAAAGAGAGATAAACAGATAGAGAAAGAGAGAGAGAACCATACTGAATATGATTAAAAGGAAGGAATGGAATCATTTGCAGTGTTGATGCCTGGAGGACATTGTGTTAAAAATGCAAGCACACATAGACCATGTGAATCTGTGACCACTCCTACATGTATAATCGAAACTAAATCAGCCTCATAGAAACAAAGTAGAAAGGTTTTGGGTACCAGAGGATGGGGTAGGAGAAGGAAGAGCTGGGACGGAGATGTTGCACAGTGTTTCGGTTAAGTTAGAATACAATTTAACAATCTGCCCCACTGTATGCCAATCACTGTCAGTCATTAGGCATTTTCCAATTACTAAATAGTTTTTAAGATTCTAAGTAATAACTTACGAGGTGGTAAATACATTTTAAAGGTGGGATATTATTTAAAGTAAAAATATCCATTTTATCAGGTATCAGACAAACATACGAATGACTCATTTAATTAAATAAGGGGCACACCGGGAGATGGACTCCAGGAAGGAGTCACTTCTACTGGATTAAGGTAGAGGGGGGCATTTTCAGCAGTCGTTAGCAGCATCAGATGTCAGAGACACTGACTTGCCAAAGAGTGTCAGAGCCACTTAGAGAGGGCAAATGTGTTCGAAAGAACTCAAGAACGGCCCGTGTGCTTCCTCTCTCCTTCCACCTTCCCCTTCTGAGGAAAAGAAACCAAGTTTCCCCTGAAGCTAGTGGAAGGACGAGAGAGAGAGAGAGAGAGAGAGAGAGAGAGAGAGAAGCTACTTTCAATAAGTTCTTTAAGATATGTCCATTTGAGTGTGAGTGCGTGTGTGTGTGTGTGTGTGTGTGTGTGTGTGTGTGTGTGTGTGTGTGTCACATATGGCAAATGCCAACAGAGGTCGGATAAGGGCATTGGATCCCCGGAACCTGGAGTTACATGTGGTTGTGAATATCCAGCACAATTATTTTGACCCCGACACGAGCCCCCTAGAAAGCAGCAAGCACATTTAATCACTGAGCCACCTTTTTAGCCCTAAGTAAATTATTTATATAAACAACATGTCTGTACAAGTCCAAACCTTAAACATTTAATTAAATGTGTATTTCTGCAAAAAAATTCATCAGCTTCTACAGTGGTTGCCATAACCATTGAAGTTTGATTGGGTCTTTTTCGGAGTTCTTTTTTCATATCAGATTTACTCCTAAGAATTGTTATACAGGGTTTTGTTTAGGCCAGTTATGTATATTTTGCATAGCTTTAGGATCACAGTATATGATGACTTTGTAAGTGGATGAAGTGCCGATCTTCACTTAGGAAAGGAGAGACGCATCCACAAGAATAGTCTTGTCAGCTCAAGTGGAGATTTCCCAAGAGCATGCCTAAATGAGGTGTTGCAATTCTTGCAACACGTAGTTTATCATTAAACAGCAGACGTGTATTTCAAAAACACAGAGTTATAAATTAGAAAAATACAAAGGTATGGGTTGGTCTTAAATTCTGTTGCAAGCATTCATGGAAAATTGTCTAAGTGTATCTTTGAAAGAACTAATTATGAGAATATGACTAAAATATTAAGTAGATTCCAAAGTATATTTATAGTGTGATCTTGACACAAAAAATATAAAAATATAAAAATGTGTTAACTGATATCTGTGGATTTGGTGGTCTTGATATTTTGAGACACCCACTTCCAAGTAGTTTGTAGTTAAGAATGGAACTCTCTTTAACTTTCCCAAGGAAGGGAATTTGTGAAGATGTGTGGTGGACATGAAATTAATGTTTACACAGAACACAGCTGGTATGTGAACAAGAAGCTGCCTCCCATGAATCTTCAGCGATACTTCTAGCTTCTGCTAATGTCTTCTGCTGTGTGGGTTCCCACTGGTTTTACAGAAATATTTCCCATTTAACCTTGCACCATTCGCTTTTCTAACTAGTTAGACTCCATTTTCTGAACCTAACACTCATTCACTTTCCATACAGCTGCTGGTGAGACTCACTGTTCATTGTGGCTTGAGAGGTTGGTGGACTCTGCCTGCACAGTTAATCTTTAGCTTCTGAAATTGATTGGTAAGGGTACTCACTGGCATCTGTCTTCAAGAACCCAGACATGGGGTTGAATGTTAAATCTTCAAATGGACTATAAGTTTCAGTGGTTCCTATGACCTCCTCAGACATGAAGAGTCAGGGAGACAGCAGCAATAACTAGAATAAAAGAGGTAACATTAATATGCATGAACATGTGTTAGATGGTCTGGTAAGTTCTCTACATGGCTCCTTTTAATCCCACACCAAGAAAGTGACGAAGGGACCGAGAGTTGTGAGCACATTTCATAACTGAACAAGGGGGTTAGAGAAAAGCAAATCCTTAAGGTTATATAGCAGTAAGCGCTTGGTAAGGCTGTGGTTCCCATAGTTGTAAGGTCAATACCTGGAGAAGGCACGGGATCCACAGAGTGGGCCGTTCTCTTTTCTAAGATGAAGATGCTAGATTTTGTGTCCCACAAGGTCACTGTGAGTTCTCAGGTTATGCATCATAAAATATGCCAATCGCCTAGCAGTAGAGGGGACTTTAACCCATCTGCAGTGTGTGTGTGTATGTGTGTGTGTGTGTGTGTGTGTGTGTGTGTGTGTGTGTGTCCATTGGTTATTCCCCTTTTCAAAAGCTATTCTAAACCTACACTCAAGAGTATACTGTATGTGTCTTTTTGCTTCTGGGACAACTCACTCAAGATGATCCTTTCCAGGTCCCACCATTTATCTGCAAATTTCATGATTTCCTTATTTTTCATTGCTGAGTAATACTCCATTGTATAGATGTACCACAGTTTCTGCATCCATTCTTCAGTTGAGGGGCATCTGGGCTGTTTCCAGCTTCTGGCTATTACAAATAAAGCTGCTACAAACATGGTATATACTCACTCATATAAACATACAACATAGAATAAACCCACTAAAATCTGTACATCTAAACAAACTAAGCAAAAGAGAGGACCCTAACTAAAAATGCTCAATCTTCATCCTGAAAGGCAAAGAGGATGGACATCAGAAGAAAAAGAAAACAGGAAACAACCTAGAAACCTGCCACAGAGGGCTCCTGAAAGCCTCTGCCGTGCAGACTGTCAAAGCAGATGCTGAGCCTGATGGCCAACTGACGGGCAGAGTGAATGGAATTTTATGTAAGAAGTGGGAAATAGTAAGAGCTGGAGAGGACAGGAACTCCACAAGGAGAGCAACAGAACAAGAAAATTTGAACACAGGGAACTTCCCAGAGACTCATACTCCAACCAAGGACTATCTGTGGTGATAACCTAGAACCCTGACAATGCAGCCACTATTGATGAGAACTGATAGACTAAGATCAGAAAGAAGGAGAGGAGGACCTCCCCTATCAGTGGACTTGGGGAAGGGCATGCATGCAGAAAGGGGGGAGGGTGGGACCGGAAGGGGAGGAGGAAGGGGCTTATGGGGGGATACAAAATGAATAAAATGAAATTAATAAAAGTTAAAAAAGAGTATACTGTAACACATAAATATAAGGCACAATGCCACCAAAACTGTCTTATGACATTAAATTCATGGATTTAGGGACTTACCATAAATTAACTGGCTTCTTGTTCTTTAGTCATCTTATAACTTAAAATATCTAATCTGTGACATTTTAAAATAATGCTTGTTTGTGTTAGACTTAAAGAGAGAAAGAAGGGTAGAAAAGAAAAAAAAAAAAGCAAGAAACATAATCCCCAGATTTTTCACTGATATATAAGGGTGGAAGGGAATAGCCAAAGAAGATATATAGGTACGTGTTTTCCTCTATACAGAGCAGGGAAGTGTGTTCCCCACTAGCACACTAAGTCAATTCAGTGAAGAAAAAAGAACCGCAGTGACAAAGTATCTATATGCCTTAGGTCTTCTGCGGTGACAAAGTTAATGATTAAAATCTCCCAGACTCTCCTCCATATTTCCCAGGGGTATCTCTGCCTTGATGATGATAGCACTTTCTTTCTTTCTTTGGGGACAAGGCTGACTGTCCCTTGGTGGAGATTAATAATTGATGAATTCCTAGTTAGGAACATTTATAAAGGCAAGTGGTAGCCCTGCTCCTGCCCTTTGGGTGGTGACCAGCAGGTGACAGGAGGGGCTGCAGGACTCCCTGGATGCAAAATGAAGAGGGTTCTAGCTCTCCTGCTGGTCTTAGCCCTTGGGCATGCTCTGGAGCGAGGTAAGTTTCCCCTTGTGACTAAGGACTAGTACTAGGTTAATTTCCAGGACCACTTTAAAAACCAACAGGTAGTAACAGACAGAAGAAGTGGTGGATGAAAGAAGAATGGAAGGGGGATTGATCTGAGCTCAGCTGTGCTGTACAACATTGGAAAGGAATGCTCTCCACACATCTCAGAGAAGACAGAGCTGGGTGTGGTGGTTCATGTCTGCAACCTCAGAACACAGGAGGTGGAAGCCGGGGGACCTGGAGTTTAAGGTTTCCTGGTGATTTGGCCATATAGGGAGACTGTCTCCAAACAAAGAAAAAGACTTGTGACAGAAAGCAGAGTTATATAAGCTTTCAACTATCCCTCCCACATCGGGTAAATAAGATCTATAATGCAACTGGAGACTCTGATATACAACTAAGCATTTTCCCCCCAAATGCTTATTCTCCTTGGGATCATCATACTGTTAGGGGTGCAAGAAGCCAGCCGGGAGATCTCTGTGCTCCTCCTTAAAGAATCTTATTCTTCAGCATTCGGAAGGAATTGGGTTTTTAAACTGACTCTCAAACAAAATAAGAGATTTTGCTCCTAATTCAGAATAGCCACAAGCTGGGGTGGAGCATGGAGAGGGTGGATGGGGATGGTGACCTTTCTCTACCTCACAGTTTCCTAGAACACTGTTTCAAACACCGTGTGGTCAAGACACATTTTGAAAACTGTTCCTATAGCCCAGCATATTTAAGAAATTAGCCATTAATTACTCCTTAGCCTTAAACCATCAATGCCTTCCATGTCTTAAAGGCTCTCATAAGTCCACAAGAAACTCTATTTAAATGAGAGTACTTACCATATTTGTCTTTCTGTGTCTGGATTACCTCACTTAGAATAATTGTTTTCTATTTCCATCCACTTGCCTCCAAGCTTCATGGTGTTATAGCTTTTAGTAGCCGAGTAGTACTCCACTGTGTAAATGTACCACAATTTCTTTATCCATTCTTCCATCGAGGGACATCTAGGTTGTTTCCAGTTGCTGGCTATTATGAATAAAGCTGCTATGAACATAGTTGAGCAAATGTCCTTGTGGTATGGTGGAGCATCTTTTGGGTATATGCCCAGGAGTGGTATAGCTGGGTCTTAAGGAAGAATCACTCTCAAAGTTCTGAGAAACCACCAAATCGACCTCCAATGTGATTACACAAGTTTGCACTCCACCAGCAATGGAGGAATATTCCCCTTGCTTCACATCCTCACCAGCATGAGCTGTCACCTGAGTTTTTGATCTTAGCCATTCTGACAGGTGCAAGGTAGAATCTCAGAGCTGTCTTGTTTTGCACCTCTCTGTTGGCCAAAGATGCCAAACATTTTCTTAAGTGCTTCTCATCTATCAGAGATTTCTCTGTAAAGAATTCTCCATTTAGTTCTGCACCCTGTTCTTTAATTGGGTTATTTGGTTTGTTGATGTCTACTTTCTTGAGTTCTTCATATATTTTGGATATCAGTCCTCTGTCAGAAGTAGGGTTGGTGAAGATCTTTTCCTATTCTATAGGCTGCTGTTTTGTCCTTTTCACAGTGGCCTTTGCTTTACAGAAGCCCTTCAGTTTCATCCATTAATTGTTGATCTTAACTGCCTGAGCTGTTAGAGTTCTGATCAGGGAGTTGTCTCCAGTGTGTTAAAAGCTATTCCCCACCTTCTCCTCTATCAGATCCAGTGTCTCCTCCAACAGATCCAGGCTCATGCAGAGCTCCTTAATCCACTGGGACCTGAATTTAGTGCAGGGTGATAAATACGGGTTAGACCAGCACCATTTGCTGAAGATGCTGTCTTTTTTCTATCGTATAGTTTAGGCCACTTTGTCAAAAATCAAGTGTCCATAGGCATAAGTCTACTTCTGGATTGTTTTGTTTTTCAAGACAGGGTTTCTCTGTGTAGCCTTGGCTGTCCTGGAAATAACTCTGCAGACCAGGCTGGCCTCAAACTCACCAAGATCTTCCTGCCTCTGCCTCCTGAGTACTGGGATTAAAGGCATGCATGACAACCATCCGGTTTTACTTTCTGGGTCTTTGATTTAATTCCATTGATCTGTTTCTATGCCAGTACCACATGGTTTCCACCACTATGACTCTGATACAGCCCAAAATCAGGGATGGCAATACCACAGAAGCTCTTCTGTTTTAACTCTCCTGGGTTCTTTCAAGGTCTGTACAGAACTCTGTCAGAATCCCAATGGTAATTATGCTAAATTTGTAAGCTGCCCCTGTTAAGGTGGCCATTTTCAACATACCAATTCCACCAACCCATGAGATTGGGAGATGCCTTGATCCTCTGATATCTTCCTCAGTTTCCTTTCTCAAAGATCCAAAGTTCCCATCATACAGGTCTTTCACTTGCTTGATTACTTACATTAAGGTATTTTATATCACTTGTAGCTACTGTGAAAGGCTTCTTTTCCCGAATCTCTTTCTCAGTCCACTTATTGTCCACATAAATGAGAACCGCTGATTTTTTTTCTTTTGGTTAACTTTGTATCCAGCCACTTCGCTGATCAACTGTAGGAGTTCCCTGGTAGAATTCCTGGGGTCACACATGCACGCCATCATTTCATCTGCAGCATTACCATGTCTTCCTCCTCTCCAATCTGCATTCCCCATCTCCTCCAGCTGTCCCTTGACTCCAGCCTAAACCTTCAGTATTGCACTGAGCAGTACAGAGAGATTGGACGGCCCTGTCCTGTTCGTGATCCCAGCAGAGATGCCCTAAGTTTCTCTCCATTTAATTTGATGGCAGCTAGTGGCCACTGTGAATTGACTCCACTGTGTCCAGGCATGTGCCTTTTATCCCTGATCACCCCAAGAGCTCCATCATAAAGGGATACTGGATTCTGACAAAGGCCCCCTTAGTATCAAATGAGACAGCCATATGTTTGTTTGTTTTTCTTTTTTAGTTTGTTTACATGTGGATTACATTGATTGATGTCCATATGTTGTACCATCTCTACATCTGTGGGATGAAGCCTCTTTGATCATGGTGGATGATGTTTTTGATGTGTTCTTGGATTCGGTTAGGGAGTATTTTATTGAAGTTTTTTGCATCAATGTTCATAAGGGTGATTGGTCTGAAATTCACTTTCTTTGATGAGTCTTTGTGTGGTTTAGGTACCAGGATGACTGTGGCCTCATATAAAATATCTTAATGTAACTAATCAAGGAAGTGAAAGACCTGTATGATGGGAACTTTGGATCTTTGAGAAAGGAAATTGAGGAAGATATCAGAGGATCGAGGCATCTCCCAATCTCATGGGTTGGTGGAATTGGTATGTTGAAAATGGACACCATAACAGGGGCAGCTTACAAATTTTTTTTTCTGCCAGAAAGTAATTTTTAACAATGAATCTTATATCATAAAGAGAACAGTATCAAAATCTAAAAGTGATTCTCTAACTGATAGAAACAAGTGTAACAAAAGTTATGCTAATTAGTAAATATAATTTTCTCTAAAACACATCACACACAAAGGTGAAGTTCTATTGGCTACAGAGATGGGTCAGCATTTAGAATTGTTCACTGTTCTCCAACAAAGATGGTCCCAAAATGATTTTCATTCTCACAGAGTCTCATTTCCCACTTTTCTTTCAGCAGTATTGTCCCTAACTTAAGCGCTAAACAATTCCTATGAGACACAAGACACTTGTGTGGAAACAAGTATATGATTTGTTCAAAACTACTAAATACATAATGTTTTTATATAAAACCTTCCCATGCATAGTGCATTCTTTAAAAAAATTTTATTTATTTATTATTTATTACAGTTTATTCACTTTGTATAACAGCTGTAGCTTGATGCCCAGACCCATGCTTCCTCCCTCATCTCGCCCCATGCCTCTCTCCTAGTCTACTGATAGGGGAGGTCCTCCTCCCCTTCCCTCTGACCATAGCCTATCAGGTTTCATCAGGAATGGCTGCATTGTCTTGTTTTGTGGCCTGGCAAGGCTTCACCCCACAGGGAGAGATGATCAAAGAGCCAGCCACTGAGTTCATGTCAGAGTCAGTCCCTGCTCCCCTTATGAGGGAACCACTTGACTGAACTGCCTATGGGCCACACCTAAACAGGGTGTCTAGGTCCTCTCTATGCATGGTCCTTGGTTGGAAAATTAACCTCTGAAGGCCCCTGAGATTTTTTTTTTTGCCTCTATTGGTCTCCTTGTGGAGCTCCTGCCCCTTCCAGATCTTCTTATCTCCCCTATAAGATTCCCTGCACTCTGCCCAAAGTTTGGCTATGAGTTTCAGCATCTGCATTATTACCCTGCTAGGTAGAGTCTTTCAGAGGCCCTCTGTGGTAGGTTCCAGTCCTGTTCCCTGTCTTCTCCCACTTCTGATGTCTATCCTGTTTGCCTTTCTGAATGAGGATTGAGCATCTGACCCAGGGTCCTTCTCTGGATTAGCATCTTTAGGACTATCGATTTTAGTATGTTTATCCTATATTATATGCCTAATATCCACTTTCATGTGTGTCTTTCTGCTTCTGGGTTACATCACTCTAGTTCTGTCCATTAGCCTGCGAATTTCATGATTTTCTTGGTTTTAATTGCTGAGTAGTATTTCATTGTGAAAATATACTACAATTTCTATATCCATTCCTTGGTTGAGGGACATCTAGATTGTTTTCAGATGCTATTTTGAATAAAGCTGCTATGAATACAGTTGAACAAATGTCCTTGTTGCATAGTTGAGCATATTTCAGATATATGTCTAGGAGTGGTATAGTTGGATCTTGAGGTGGCACTATTCCTAATTTTCTGAGAAAGAAAGCACCAGATTGATTTTCAAAGTGGTTATATAATGTTACATTCCCACCAGCAATGAAAGAGGGTTCCCTTCTTTCCACATCCTCTCCAGCATGGGTTGTCACTTGAGTTTTTGATCTTAGCCATTCTGATGGGTGTAAGGTAAAACCTCAGGGTCATTTTTATTTGCATTTCCCTGATGACTAATGATGTTGAATATTTCTTTAAGT